ATGCAACTACCCTGCATGATATAATCATGGGTATATGCCATTGTACACTGTACAAATGCATGGAGTAAACACCAAAAGTGAACCCTAATGTACACTATGGACTCTGGCTAAAAATGATATGTCCAAGGTTGATCAATTTTAACAAATGTGCCATTTGTTAAATGTGCCATTCTCGTGGGGATGTCGATAATAGGTGAGGCTGTGCATGTGTTGGGGAAGGGATATCTCTGCACCTCTGCTTAATTTTTCTAGGAACCTCAAACTGCTCTAAAAGATAAAAGTGTGTTTATTTAATGACAAGGATGTCAAGAAACATAGCATAATGCATAGAGAGCAGACCAAGATGACACACGTAGAGAAATCCAGAATGCAAGACGCTGAAGTTTTTAAAAGAGGCTTGTATTTAGAGCCACTGGGAAAATGGACCTTATGGATTGGGACAGCTCTACAAAGTATTTATTAAAAATGTGTACACATTTGAGACTTTGGAAAGACCAAACTCTCAAAAATTATGCGATGAGTTTGCAGGTGACAGCAATTAAGGGTAGGCATGCTATTTTTGCCTATTCCCTAAGAAAATAGCCTGAGAAATTTGAGGAATAAGACTGCTAAGAGAATGCAAATCAAAGTGAGTCTCTGAAAGAGGAATCTGGCAGGAAAATAATAGTCCAGGCTTGTTGTTTGTTGTTGATGGTGGTGTGTTGAAAAACAACTTGTCATGTGGGGTTATCCATCTCTAGGTTGTGTAGATGAAAGTGAATAGTTTGAATGATGAGTGAATGGTTTTACCGGGCCCAGAACTCACTGATTTGTAATCAATAAGCATGTGGTACCCCCATAAGATGTAATATTGTGAATTGTTTCTATACCAGAAAGTATAGGAAAAAGAATAGAAGAAACAATTCGGTCCAGAAATCTTATCAACCCCATGCAGCCACTGAAGGAGCTGAACTGAGTTTAGAAGCAGGTTAATGACCCTTTCTGGAAAGAAGCAGTGAAATATCAGAAAATGATAAGCGAAGATTACCCTGGGAAGTTGGAGCAGATGTACTTCAGTTGCAGGAAAATCAACACTAGTGTCAGGAGCTTACTGATGATGACCTGATAGATGACACAAAGATAGGGCCATGGAGCCATTTAGCACAAATGGGTGCTAAAACCATTAGGATTTATGTGGATGGGGTAGATTTTAGAGAACTCAATAATTCCACAGAAAGAAGAAATAGCATCAGCTTCTAACAGATTTTAACATCATGTGTCTCTATGGTTCAGAAATGAAAAGCTCTAAGAGGAAATGGAAATTAAGAGGTTTAACTATGTTCTGTGGGATAAAGGTGATTTGAAATGAGGCCCAGGTTTGGGCTGCCATCATCACAAATTTATAACCTTTGCAAGAGAGCAGCAGTGATTGAAATGCCATTATGAAAGAGAAGACAGGGTGCAATGGGTGATTTTTTTTCCATATAAATATGCTATTAAAAGTAAACATTTAATGAAGACTTGCTTCAACTGAGTTATAATATAGACTGTGAATATATGGCATAGATTGGCCAGCACCCTGGCTAAGAAGATTTTTCCTTCCATTCTCCCTCTTTCAGTAAATGAGTCTTTCCTGCAGTCTTTCACAATCCCAAAGAGTGGTGTTTAGGTAGATGGTTTTATTTTCGGTAACTGATTTTGTTTTCTAAACTTTTACCATACAGGGCTAGTTAGGTTATCCTTCTTGTTTCATTAAGTGTTTGTCCTCCTTAAAATTGAGAATGAACAGAGACTCGTGGATTTCATCTTCTGAATTTGAAAAGAATGACACAATGCAATTCAGGTCAAGCTGCGGCTGCAGAAAGACGGACCCCCCAACCCAGAACAACCCTGCGTCCGGAAAACTTTGGGATAAGACTAAGCAAACTACAACACTGGAACTTGGGGAGGGGCTTGGAGAGTTTGTTTTGGAAAGTTTTGAGCAGGAAATCATCTAACCACAAGAGTAAGAAAACTAATTTTGAGCTTTAATTTCTTTAGTCTTTCAGTTTTAGCAGGCACAGCTTTAACATTCATTTTCAACCCATTGAAGAGGAGATGAGCTTATTGGCTAGTCCACCTTGACAACATGTAGGTGGAAAACAGGACATTCAGTCTTTGGTGCAGAGTGGCCTGGGAGATACTTATGAACCATTTTAACACATTTCAGGACCACGTAACAACATCAACACTGCACTGAAGTGGTATCGGGAAAGTCCATCCAGAGAAGCAATGTCTGCTATGGAGGAAGCAGCTTCATCAAGGTGGAAGCAGGTCTATGCTTCCAGGCTGGTCAGTTCCATTCATGAAAACAGCACACTGTGGCTGACTATGGTTTGAAGAAACAAAGGAAGCCAAAGAAAACAAAAAAATGTTAACGGAGAATTTAATCCATCTCTAAGAGGTGGAGGGAGTTTCATTTGAATTGCTCCCTGTTCTTTTACTCTTCCTCCCCCTTGAAGGGAGTTGGTAGATTTGACCGGTGAGTTTAGAAGATTAGCCCTAAACATGTGTGGTTCAGCCCTTTTGCTCCATTTTGTCTTGGAAAAGGGCTGGATTCTGTGCTATTCTCCTGTGCCTTAAGTTTTGTAGTTATGGGATTTATCTAACACAGCCTGACTGGTTTGGAAAGTCTGTCTGATTTTGATGTTTTCTGTTACCTGGTCTGCTAACATTTTTTTCAAGAAATATAGCTAGTATTTTCTCCCTCTCTCTGACTCCTATTTTTATTTTCTCCCTCTCTCTGACTCCTATTTTTATTTCGTTGTTGGTTCTAAGCATGGGTGGTCAAGAGATGTATTGATTTATCGTGATCCTTCAAAACCTTACACAGTTGTGCTGAAAAAGGATAGGAGTTTTCATCAGGATAGAAGTCCTGTGTGTAGTTATGCAGATTGCCATCATTCAGATGCTGCTGGGAACACCATAGATTTTTGTTCCTCTAACAATGTTGTTGTCATCTCTGTACAGGAGAAAACTTAGGACGGTTTATGTGATGATAATGAAATTTATACAATGGAGACATGCAAATATGGGCAAAACGGTTGCTCAAAAACTGAACACCAGTGGAAATGTCATCTGAAACTTTCTGGAATTTTGAATTTCAGTGAGCTATTAGACAAAGAGAAAGGGAGAGGAAAAGCAAAATACACAATAAGAAACATTTGCAACAAACTGGGATTTGCTTTTTCCAAAGTTATGTGTTGTCTGCTTAGTAATTTCTATGAGCATCACATCAGTCCGTGATTAGATACATTTCAAATCTCAAGTCATACAATTTTTTTTTAAGTCACACAGCTACTGAGTGGCAGAGTTAACATTCAAACCCAGTAATGATCTTTCCATTATTTGATGCAGATGGTAGGGGCATCTCAGGGTCTCTTCAACTTCATGCTCATTTTATTACAGTGTCTTAAGATGAGATTTACCTGTTGTTTACGTTTTTCATCCTAATGGCAAATAGTAACAGCTTTTTTCTTCTCAGAGAATATACTATTACAACTTAATACGTACAAAACACATACTAAATATTCTAAACCCAGAAAAATACCATCTAAACAAAGTAGTAAGACTTAAATAGCACCAAGAATGAGACAACGACCATCATGTACCTGCAGAAATCATGTACTAAGAACACAACATCAATACATGGTACTTCCTCATAGAATGTATAAATCACAAAGAAAACATGAGATGAAACTAAATTCTGGAACATTCTGCAAAATAATTGTCTTATATTCTCTAAGAATACCAAGGTAATAAAGACAAGGAAAGACTGAGGTGCCGGGCGCGGTGGCTCACGCCTGTAATCCCAACACTTTGGGAGGCCTAGGCGGGCGGATCACGAGGTCAGGAAATCGAGACCCTCCTGGCTAACACGGTGAAATCCCGTCTCTGTTAAAAATACAAAAAAATTAGCTGGACGTGGTGGGGGCGCCTGTAGTCCCAGCTACTCGGGAGACTGAGGCAGGAGAATGGCGTGAACACGGGAGGCGGAGCTTGCAGTGAGCCGAGATGGCGCCACCACACTCCACCTGGGCAACAGAGAGAGACTCCGTTTTTTTAAAAATAAAAAAAAGACAAAGACTGAGGAACTGTTCCATATTGAAGAAAACTGAAGAAACATGACAACTAAATGCCACATGTGATCTTGGATTGGATCCTGGACTTCATAAAGAATGTTATGATAATTGGCAAAATTTGAATGGGGTCTATGGATTGGATGGTAATATGTTATCACTGTCAATTTCCTAATTGTAAAGATTTAATTGTGGAAAAAAATAAATAAATAAACATAAAGCAAAAATGATGGAGAAGAACGTTCCGCTTCAGACAAAATGGCTTTGCTCAAAATTTGCACCTAGATTAGTAGGAATAGTGATGGCTATTTCTGGTCCCTTTTGTATTAGTGGAATTGGAGTCAGGAGCTGCTGGGGAGTTGAGGTGGTCTCATTTAGCATATGTAGTCTAACCGTTTTTAAGTGTTCTTTTTTACTGCCTTTGCTAGTTTTTTAATATTTTCTGTTAAATCATTCTCAAGAGATGGTTTTAAACATGTTAGTCTCAGAGAGATTCTACTATTTTATGTAATTTTTGTCTTCTCATATCACATTAAGATGATGTCCCACTAATGATGTATATTTGATTAACTAAGAACATATGCCATATGGCGTCATTGACAATGTTTATGATAATTGATTAGTAACCTCACTTCAACTGATGTCGTGTATACACTAATTCCCTTCAGACTCTGAACAGCCAGATAACAGGCAGAAGAAGCAAAGCATTTAACAAAAGTTAGGAAATTATTCCTCTTAAGAAAAAAATGTCACATGTGGTAATAAAAATTACCATGAAAATTTCTCTTATTTAGAGGAAAAATATATTTTGTTTTCTCCATTTTAAAGAAAACTCCAATCTCACAGATTGTATGTACATTATATGAAATTTTTAAGCACTCACAGAGCACTCGTTTTACATCTCATCTGTTCTGTTAAAGAGATGGGAAAAGTCAATCTCACTTCTTTTTCCCCCTTTAACAGCATAAAGAACCCGTAGTGAATTGTACATTGACAGCACAGGAATATCCATTCTGTCATTTTCAGAATATTGACTCACTGCAGTCCTCTAGCCTATTTGCATTCCCGATTCGTGTCCATAGTGCTCCATGACTGTGCCATCCTCCATGCGTTCATTTCGAAAAACCTTGTTGTTACAGGCAGGCTTCAACATCGAAAAGCCAGAAACTTAAGCAAAGAAGAAAAATTTAAGTTGAAAAAACTGTTCATCAAATTCAACGCAACATGAACTCTTTGAGGAGTTATTTTCAACTGCTGTGTTTAAAAATACCACTTTTCCCACAGTTAGTAGTTAGGATTTCATCATAAAATACTCCCGTAAAAACTATTTAATTTGCTAGTACAGGGAGGGAGGATTTGATCCCTTATTAAACATTTTATGGGAATGTCTAAAAGTGCTTTCAATTATTTATCGAATTGAAATCGAGGCCTTGGAAACTGCTGGCATCACACACACACACATAATATTATCAGCCCGCTGAGTGCCATTAGGTCATAAAGCGCTGCTGTAGCAGCATCTCTGGTACAGCTGCTGGTGCTCATGCAACTTTTACTACAGTTATAAAGTCATTTATTACATTTTCTTTATGATGCTAATGCATTGCAGTCTGTTACTTTATTGTTCCCATTGTGATAAAGACTGAAATGTATGATATTGTGCAAAAAAAGTTTACATATATATATATATACACATACACACACAGCCCTAGTAACACAGCCTGTTGCATTAAAAAGCTCTTAAACTTAAAAGGTCAATAAAAATATTAGCAGGGAACATCAAAAATGAAATCGTTTTGTGGTACACTTTTGTCATTTGGTTTCATTGTTACCCATAGAATTGTTTTAAGTCGTGCTTTGTCAAAAGATCCAAAGGGTGATATGAGTATCTTACTAGGTTTGTTTTCTTCCTTAATTAGAATATTATTGTGTTAGAAAATTTTGCAATTCACTAAGAGGAACAATAACTATGTAATTTCCAAATAATCATATGAAAAGGAACAAAGCCATTAAAAGATAATAATGACTGTGGACCCGAAGGAACCCATAATTGATAATGACATCTTGTTTGAATTGTCTAAACTTAACTCTCCCTATGATATGATTGTACATAAAGAGGATGCAGTTTTCTATTGAGGAAAAATAATCAATTACATCAATTAACTGCTACGCTGTGCTAAAGCTTGTTTAGCAGTTGACACCTATAGCACTATAACTTGGAGGGGAAATTCATTCCCAGACCACAGTCCTTGTGGGTGGCTGACTGGTGTTTGCAGGAGAGCTGCCACTGCTGTTTTCATTTCTGCTTTTCTTCCTTCACTTTCTCCAGCTCTTTTAGAAGGGGTGGCAGGGGGAGAAGATTATTCCAAGAATGAGAAGTCCAAGGGAAACAATCCTTTTTAAAATCAGTCATTGAAGCTGGACCTTCTATTTATACTTTTTTATGATATATGATTTTCCCCCAAAAAGCAGTCAGAATCAAGAGTTGTGTAATATTTAAAGAAAAGCTTTACATGGTGTGTTTTTTAAAGTTCTATCGAATTTTAGTCTATTCAATAATTTTTATCTAGATAATTTAAATGCATTTACAGACTACTATTGATAGGGACAGAAGGCAGAGAAATTCTGGGAGGGTGGGTCCTCAGCTAGGGCCCCACCCTCAAGCAGAAAAGCCCAATACCATGGTCCAAAGTGAGAACTTATGTCCCCGCTTTCCCACTCGAATGTAGTATTTTCCAAAACCACCCATAGCCTGTGCCATCCCCCATCCTGTCCCCATAAAAACCGCAGGCTCAGCTAACAGAGGAGAAGCAGCTGGATGTCAGAGACTATGGTTGGATGTCAGAGAGAAGCAGCTTAACTTCAGAGCAATGGCTTAATGGCATAGCTTTGGAGAGGAGTCCGGCCAGGAAGCTTGACTTCAGGGGAAGATGACCTTCCCGCTCCGTCCTCTTCTCAGCTCCCCTTCCCACTGAGAGCCTCTTGCATCAGCAATAAAATCACCTGCATTTACCATCTTCAATTCATGTGACTTCATTCCTCCTGGAAACCAGACAAGAACTCGGGTGCCATGAGTGTGGGTACAAAAGGCTGTCACACTGACCCTCCACTGAGCTGTTAATAGTTAAACGATCCACAGATGGTGGAGCTAAAAGGACACTGTAACACTCCTTCTGGGGCTTCGTGGGTCCCAGCACGCCCCCCAGATATTGCTGCAGGTCCAGTAGGTAGTTTGCTCCTAGTGGCTCCCAAAAGCACTCACCCTGGCTCCTGCACCCACTCACCCACATGCTCCCCTTCTCACGAGAGCTGGAACACTATGGGTTCCAATGAGTAGAGTTCACCCCTGTTGGCACCTAAGTGGCCAGCTAGTCCCAGTGCCCGTGAACTCCAGTTCCCGCCCATGAAGGAGTCAGGGAACTTTCCTGCTGCATTATCATCATGATTTTAAACACTGTTACAGTGATGGGCTAGCCAAATGTTAATAATGGGTGTAAGCATTAATATACTACCAAATATGACTTAATAGTGACATTGAATTTGCAGTTGCACAGGCTTTTAGAGTGGTTTACCTTACTCTGTCATTTCACTAAGAACTAAGTATCAGTAAGTTTTTTTTAATGTGGCTATGTAC